ATGATGGCGTATCGCTCCACGGAACATGAGACGATGGGGAACTCGCCGAATAGCATGATGTTGGGAAGGGAAACAAGCACTCCATTGGATATTCAGTACGAGATGCCAAGGAATATCAAGGCCATTCCTCAAAACCAATGGGCTTGGCAGTTAAAAGAAAGGATGGAGAATGCATACGACTTGGTGAGGAAGCACTCTAAAGGAGCGATGCTGCGACAAAAACGTTACCATGACAAGAAATTGTCTTGGACTGAATTCAAGTCTGGTGATTCAGTTTATGTCTTCTTCCCGAAAATCCCGACTGGGACCACACACAAGTTAGCCAAACGATGGCGAGGACCTTTTAAGGTACTCACCAGAATGACCGAGGTTACTTATAAAGTCAGATGTGGATACAAGGGAAAGAGTCAAGTGATTCATGCTGATCGCATGCGACTGAGACATTCACAGGGGTTACGGGGTGAAAGTAAAGCGAAAGAAGCTGGAATGAAGAATGTGCAAGTACAGGTTGATGAATCATGTTTTGAACGTGGTCAGAAAGAAAGAGAATGTAAACTTTCAGAAGATGAGACCTCAAGTGAGTTGAGAGATGAGGTAGAGCAAAAATGTAGCATTGAGAAAGAGTGCGAACAAATCAGAGCAAACCCAAGGCGGCCTATAAGGAAACCGCAATGGCATTCAGAATACACCTCAACTTATTAGAATGATCTATTCTGATTGGTAAACAACTCTCAATTTTATCATTCCAGAAGATGGGGAAAACAAAGTCTACCCCTAGGAAACAGTGTCCTATGTGCTCCTTTCGAGCAGACGATCTTGACGTGATGCCTAATCACATTCTTGAGTGTGGCCTGGAGACCATGGAGAAGAAGACTCTGGCTTGTCCCGATTGTAGCTACAAGACATTCAGGGCTGCAAACATGACGCGGCACCGTAAGCGCCATACGGATTCCACAGGAAATGTGTGTAAGGATGTGTCCACAACTCTGGCTGCAGATCGCCCATCCACCTCAACTGTGACTGTCAACACAGATGTTGGGAGCTGGAGCAACCAAGATCCTGGGGACCTGCTAGGAGAGATCTCAGACTCGTCAGAGAACAACTCTACATCTGAAGATGAGGGAAACGGTCTTCTGGTCGGACGCACGGTCAGGAAGCCAACCAGACCAGAGCCGGTACAGGCTCCAAAACGGAAGCAAGACCCAAAGAGCTTCGCTAGACCCAATGGGGCCTATGCCTGTTACCAGTGGACGCCCTAGTGCTAAAAAGTTATGCACCTGTATGTGCATCGTGCCACTCAGACTGAGGAGGTCAAAACCTCCCGCAGAACTGTTTCGAAGACGACGCGCTATTCCGAAGATGGTCGAGACATTGAGGTGGTAGAATTTGAGAAAAAGAAAACCGCAATCTGCGGGAGGACTTTTATGGAACAAAACAAATTATGAAATATACAAAATATTATCAACAACAGGATGATAAATCAGCGGGGCTAGACCAGGATTTGAACCATGCATTTCGGATAGTCACACTATCTCTTTAACCGATTGAGCAATCCAGATTACTGTAAACGGCTATTTGATTAATAGGAATTAAAATATCAAAATAATTTACCATGGGACAAACATTGACAAGTTACTTTGAATCAATGTGTAGCAAAAAAAAAATAAGTGCATCAATTTATTTTTTACATATTAGTGTAACATTTACGTTTTATACATAATATCTAACATTATACCTGACATACATGTATTATGAAGACTTATAAGCCATGGGGGCAATTATGACGCCTCCATGGGAACAATATGCGTGACGTCATACAGTTTAGGAAGTCGTCATTTTATTCAGAGAAGATTGGATGGCCACGGTTATCTCATCATATATTAGGCTATATTAATATATTAATAGAGATATTATGATCACGTGACATGTCTATTTATAGCTGTGCTGTGGATCAGGACCTATTCCCTAACTTCCAGAAGCCCACGGGCGCTTTCCGTACCACTGACCTAAACGACGGAAGTGTGGTCGTGACCTTCTCGTGTACCCTCCAGGTCTGCCTCGAAAGCTGTGTCATGGTAAGTCACGTGCCCAAAACCAGACTTACACCCTATATGATCGGTCAGGCTATTTTATTTACGTTAAGTTCTTATATAAAGATAATATAAACTCTGCCGAACAGTACTTTCTCCTAGATGAAATATATTCATACACACAAATATATATTTCATGGCCACAATAAACAACCTGACAAGCATGCTCCATGCAAATGCGGTGTTAATAATATTTTCCAAGTTAATTAACATTGTCTTTCATAGTAATACAATGGTGCCAACACATTGCTAATGGAGATTTTTCATTCTCTGATAATGAAGTCTGACTGTGAGTAAATCCCTCCACAGACCTGCTGTCCCTATACCACGACAGGCTGGGGCAGACGAAGGAGATCGGCCAACAGGTCAACAGAAATCGGGAACCGTCGACAATTTCCGTACACGAGAAAATAGTTTTCCTATTTAGTTCACCGATCTCTAGTCTCATATATCAGATTTACCTACCCTTTACTATTCCAACTTATCGGAGTCGCCTTCCCATGTTATCAAACTCACTGCTGTGCTTGACTGAGGGTAGCAGCGGGAACCTTAAGTCATAGCTCTGAATAGATTTTAAGCTTTTGGAACTATTAAGAATTTCTAAATTTATAATCAATCCGACATTTTTAGCTGAATGTCTCATAGCTAGACTAACGGTAAAGTCAGCTGCAACATAATCTAAGACGCCTGAGATTTTCGTGTTTGATCTATCTTAGCGTTGAAACGAAGGTTACCCGAAGCTTACGTATTTCATCTGTTGTCTCGTATTGTTACACGTAGCTTAAACTTCGTGAACCCTGTGTCCGATTCTTTTATTGTTTTATGGAAGATGTACCGGTTAGTTTTAGTTTAAACCGGATAGTTGGATTGCTTAGTGAAATGTTTACATTACACTGTGGTGTTTAATTAAACTTTCCACTCATTGCTATTTGTATTAGTTATATCATAAGAACCGGGCAATATGTCAGTTATTGTACGAGAGGAGCGGGGCTACTTCTCGAGCGCGTAGCGCGAGAGATGTAAGCTCCGCCCCTCGAGTACGATAACTGACATATTGCGAGGCCTATGATGTAACTGACTTGTCGCATAAAGTGTCACGTAACAATTTAAAAGATAAAGTTTGGTTATTATATAAAAAAAAGTTTGCAGCATGTCGGACTTCGTCTCAAACTTAAGGCCAAGTTTGGCACACGATGACTTTGACGACCTGGACGATACATTCATATGTCTCAGTTAATGACTCGCATTGAAAGTGACCCAGAAAACATCACTGAAAAGTGTTAGAAGACCTAACTCCTGCCTCTTTCGGCGATTAAAGATGAGCCAGAGGAGGAGTAAATACCCGTTAAAAGCCGCTTCCCGGATCCTGTTGGAAGGACAAAATGGTATAAATTGAGGATGCTAAATGTCAAAATAGTAATATTAAGCCTACTACTGTGAATATTAACATGCCTACAGAAACGTACAAGGTCCTATTTGCTGGGTCAAAGTGTGCGGTCATGCGTAAATAAGCTCAACAGTAAAAATCACAACGTCGTGTTGAGGAAATGTTAAGTGTCTATCAATGTGAATATGTTTCTTGATTAACTCATACCCATTTGTGGAATGTCGAAATCAACTGAGCAATCCAACGTGTACGCTCCAGTACAGTGATTTGTGTAAAGACTTGCGCACTTTCATTTCCGCATTGAGATTTCTATCAGCATAGCACGAGGTCGGAGACAGCATGTGTGTTTATTGTAATATTAATTAATTAATAAGATTATGAATAAGTTGTTATTTTTTATTTTATATAGTTATCTTTTTGTCATTTATCCGACTGTTTAAATACGTTGATTGTCAGAGAAATCAACGACATATATAGCCTCCTATTGTTAGCAAGCTTTATGCCAAACATAGGAACTCCCTTAACTCGAATACTCGGATAACTCGAAGTTTCCGAACGATCCCGTCGACTTCGAGATAACGAGGTTCGACTGTATTTATAATATGGCTAGAAAAGTGTTTCACAATTGCCTTTTGTCTTTTAATTATAAGACGGACTAGTTCATGCTAAAAGTTGAAAGTTACAAAACGGAAAAAAAGATAGACCGCGGAACCTGGAAAGGTGAAATTTGTTAAATTGTTTGCAACGATGTTTCTGAATAAAATGTGTTTGAACTTCCATTATTTGTATTTTTAGTTATTTCTCACGGTGTCGATATCCTATTAACATTCACTAATTGGCCACTTTAAACTCTTATTGGCTGACCAATGAGAATGGAGAATTCCATTGTATTCAGTATATGGGAGGAGCCTCGCTTATACCATATGGTATTACTAAAACTGTGTAAAACAAGTTGGTTATACCATAGCTAGATCAAAGGGAAAGTGACACGTCTTTGCGACAATGTAGATAAAGATGATACTAACAACGTGTGTATAGACAGGAAACTGTTCGCCGTCGGCATGGTGACAGGTGTAGCGTCTCTGTTTGGAACGACGTTCGCCATTGGCTACCACGTGTTGAAGATGCGGATCAAGCGGTCTTTAAGATTGGGGATGCTACTTTAAATGATCCATCCTTGGCACTCGGAACTGACTTGGACTCGGCCTTAGGCTTACTAAGATTTCTTTCCTCTTTTTGAGTTGTTTTTGAGTTGGTGCGTTATAGATCCGTCAATATAGGCCGGGGTCGTTTTCATGTTTAGGTTCCTTGTTGTGATATTTACCATGAACTGACCAGCCATTGTTTCAGAAGACATTTTTTTTGTCAGTTTGAAATGTCCCAGTTGTGCAGCCGTTTCACATTTACACTTATTTCAGTTGGCAACGATGTGCATGGCGCAGGATTTCAACTGTTACCAGGGGGCATAACTCCGACTCTTTTTACAGGACGAGGAGCATCAAAAGAACATAACACAATGCCGATTGGAAGCAAACTGATTTATTTTCATGATATCAAGTAACATTCATTGATATAGAATCATCGTTCGCTGTACAGTGTGATCATTCTTCATGACGAGGATACTGGAATATAATATACACAGGATCACAAACTAGTGTCATATCTTAGTAATCATCATGAGCGATATTTTTACTTGATCAAATCATTTATCTATCTTTGTAAAAGAAAAAATATCTCTAAAGGTCGAAAACATATTTTTTTTTACATTAAAATGAGGAGATAGAACGTATAATTTGAGATATTCTTTATCATAAAAAATATTTATCTTTGTGAAAAACCCCACATTTATGTAGAATGTTTCAGTAAAATGGTATTTTTTGCATTTAATTGTAAACCTATGACGTCATCAATTTTTGTGATATTATCATGGGCGTTTAATAAGTCATGTCACATTTCAAAATTAAAGTGATCAGCTATTCCATAGCGTAACAAGGTTTCGACTACATGATCAATATAATTTATATCACTGACACATGTTTAAATAGATTATTAAAATAGATAACTGTACAAATGGTGGCTTTTAATTGTAAATATATATGTTAAAATGGTGATATCACGTGATCAATATGTATATCCGTAATACTTACGATGTGTGACGAAGGTCATACTTACGATGTGTGACGAAAGTCATACTAACGATGTGTGACGAAGGTCATACTTACGATGTGTGACGAAGGTCATACTTACGATGTGTGACGAAGGTCATACTTACGATGTGGGATGAAGGTCATACTTACGATGTGTGACGAAGGTCATACTTACGATGTGTGACGAAGGTCATACTTACGATGTGATGAATGTCATACTTACGATGTGTGATGAAGGTCATACTTACGATGTGTGATGAAGGTCATACTTACGATATGTAATGAAAGTCATACTTACAATGTGTGATGAGGGTCATACTAACGATGTGTGACGAAGGTCATTCGTACGATGTGTGATGAAGGTCATTCTTACGATGTGTGATGAAGGTCATTCTTACGATGTGTGATGAAGGTCATTCTTACGATGTGTGATGAAGGTCATTCTTACGATATGTAATGAAAGTCATTCTTACGATATGTAATGAAAGTCATACTTACTATGTGTGATGAAGGTCATACTTACGATGTGTGATGAAGGTCATACTTCCGACGTGTGATGAAGGTCATACTTACGATATGTAATGAAAGTCATACTTACAATGTGTGATGAAGGTCATACTTACGATGTTTGATGAAAGCTGACGCCGAGGTGCTACCGAAACTATTAGTAGCAATACATGTCCATTTGCCGAAGTGGTTATGTGTGATCTGAAAGAATGCTGTGGTATTTCGAGGTCCGAACGCCACCGGCTTTGGGAACACACTGGTACCAGTCTAAAATTATTAGTACATAAATGACCGTCATTATGATACAGGGTGTGTCATAGTCTCGTTCAACAAGACTCTTGTTGTCTGCGCTAGCTACGCCGAATAGAGTGATCAAGCGTCTGGTTGAGCGAGACTATGTGTGTCAGTGAAACTGTTTTAACTACAGAGTGTCTTTGAAATGTTTTAAATACAATGCGTTTTAGCGAACCAGTCAGGAACACAGAGCGTGTTAGCAAATTGGTAATTGTCCGTTAAAATGTTTGGTCCAAGTAAATTCATAAATATCAAGCTTACCAAAATCAGTACATATTAATTGCTTATGATGATGAAAGACGATATGGGTTGCACTGAACAAACGGATAAAAAACCCATTTAAGTCGCTGCTTTCTATGACATGTATCGTATATATGTGTATTTACGGCCGATTCAAACGTCCAGGTGAGAGTTGCATTTGATGATTGGTCTGCTTCACATCGAAGCCTCGTGACGTCATCCACTTCTAACGTCCGATTAAATGGTTTAGTCACAATCTCTGGTAATACTGTAAAAACGATAAGAGAGTCAGGATTAAAAGCTGTTTAAGTGTTACTTACCAACACTGTCCAGTGATAATATATATATTATGACTTTACTATCATACTGAACACTGAGTTAATCACGACCTTAGCTGTTTATAGGCCGATACACAAAATGAAACCAAAACCATTGAGTTATCCCCAACAGCCAAAAGGTATATCCCCTGGCATTCAGGAAAAAGATAATCTTGTTTAAAATACTGCACACTCTATTAATAGATTAGAGACTGTTAAAAGTAACTTTTCCCTAACTGACTGGAATTTAAAAAACCCACAAAAAAATGAAAAAAATGAAAAAAAGTAAAACTGCACAATTACCTTACCCATGTTCTGACTGAAGTTACTTCCTCTGACTTACCGCTCTGACTTACCGGAAGTAGCAACCATGTAGTTTGATACTGAACACTCAGTTTGCCCAACACAGACCGGGGTTATTTCTCCTATAATTCAATAACCCTGTACTGCTAATATGTATCACTGCACACTCGGTTTGGTAAATATAGACAGAGGTTACTTCTCCAGACATACCAGAAGTAGACAAACCTGGGCTGCTATGCTATCCTGTTTTTGTACCTAACTACTCAAATGACATACCATAATATATAGCGCATGTTTTGTAAAATTGCACCCTCTCTCTGTATCGTATACACACACCATCACTACTTTAAATGTAATTCCATATCTTTATTTACCACTAACAGACTGAGATTAGAGTTAACTTCCCCTGACAAACCGGATGTATATAGCTACTGTACTGTATGCACTTACAGTGTAGGCCACACAGGTCGACGTTACAGCCATCCGCGTCACAACAGCGCTTGCAGAATGGCGCTTGATTAGACGCTACGCCGGTGTAATGTGTGCAAGCCTGAAACAGAATCGTGATAATGTTTTAAAATGTTGCAGAATAGAGTGTAGACATATTTCATTGGTAGTTTATCTACTAACTCATAATCTTCTATTGATGGCCACCTTAAACGGCTGTGAAGTTGTGATTGGTCTCCTGTTTATGGTCATCTTTCTACTGTTCTTTAAAATATGAGGATTTGTCACCAAAATATGGCGACAGTGATTTTGAGAGTTTTGCATACATGTGAAATTCCCCAAACCGATATCAACAGCTTTGGGCGAAAATATCGTAAACATGCGAACGACCAAAGTTTTTGAGTCTGTGTTTATGCTTAGTTTTAAGGATCATTGTCCTTCTGCACTGTTGGTTTTCCTATATACAGTAGCCTCCCCTTAATTTTTTCCTTGGATTTAACTGTAGCAAGTTGGCCCAGTACACTTCCGGTGACCAGATAACTCAATGTGTAACCCGAAGTTTTTAGTTACAATATTTGGCAATGATATGGGGATCCTTAAGAGACATACCTGTCGGCTCTCACATCCCATTGAGTAGTGTGTGGTCGTGCCTAGCGTTGCACGTGTAGTGTAGCATTCCTGTAACATGGATAGTGATAAATATGTAATTTATTGGTTGCAATTTATGTGGCCATAGTTAAGACAATTGACAACTTCCTCGGCTCCAAGATGGCGACTTCAATAATCTGATATAGGCTTAAATACAAAATTGACTATGTTACATTCTAAAACATATATAGATATAAATTGTTTTTGTTAAATGAAAAATGAAATCGTTGAATATCCTATATTAACTCATCTAATTTTTCATTATATTTAGCGCCGTATTATAATCATAAAGCTTAATGTATTACACATTTATTTTACCGGAAGTGTTATACCTGCCCTGCTGCACATGCCAAGCTCACTTGACAGTCGGTAACTTTCGTGGCGTCAGAACAGCGGAAACATGATCTCAGGTTTTGCGTCACGTTACCGGATGTGGCTGTAGTTAAGAACGAGTTGGGTGGCGGTGTCGAGATCTGACCTGCGGGCATCAATTCCGGTAGAAACGATAGAACGTTGCGACAATTAGAGTATAATGGGATGTATCTCCGAGTATTCAAGAAATAAACCCACCTTTGCTGAACCTTTTTTTTAGGAAAAACCTTTTTTGTTCTCATTGAGCTGGTTTTTGTCTGTTATACAGCGAAAATTTTACAAGCCATGATACAATCTACATTTTTGTCTTGTGCGGATAATAATGCAGGAGAAAAGTCATGTTTGGACGAAATAATTCTTATTTCTGTAATTCTTTTGAAAACAATTCGAGCAATCACTCTACTAGATCCTGTCTTACCGAGGTCACAAATATGTTCGTTACATAGGTCTCTGGTGCAGCACCTGTAGCAACCTGTGGCGTCACGTTTTCCTATCCCTACAGCCGTGCTCTGGAGTATACTGCAGTCCTGTAACCGGAAGTCAGAGTGTGTGACCGAAATGAATGTTTGTGAGCGGAAGTAAGGACATGTGATAATGATGACTTTAACCGGAAATCAGAGAGCGTGACCGTTATTAATGTTTGTGATCGGAAGTAAGGATATGTGATAATGATGACTTTAACCGGAAGTCAGAGTTTGTGACCGTGATGAATGTGCGTAACCGGAAGTAAGGACGTACGATAATTTTAACTTTGAGTAATCGGAAAGCAAAAAGTTTGATGAGGACGTCAGGAGGTGTAACCAGGATAACCTGTTTTAGACCTTAAATTCTATTTAACCGTAATTTTCATTACCAAAGTAGAACTCTATTGGAATTTAACGTTTTACATACGAGTGCATTTAATGTAGAAGTTAAATCTAGACTTTTACACTTTTGATATTATTAGCGATCTTGTGTGTGAATGTAGAAATGTGCCATGCAAACAAACAGTGCAATGTCTATAACGGTCTACAAGAAAAAATCAATAACGGTTCGACAGTATCTCTCGAATTTCCGATAATACACACTGTTATTCTTTGGTTCTCAAAATCTGACGCTTTAAAGGAATATTTTTTCCTCAGTTATAATTCATACTTAACAATTTCAAAATCAGCTGTACACACCTAAATAATAATAAATAATAATAATTCGAGGTTCTTATATACGCTTTATCATAATCTAGTTAGTAAGGTTTCTCAAAGTGGTTCACAAATTGTTATCCGTGGTTAAAGGGCCTCTGCAACCAGCCAATATCTGTCTCAACTCCCTTGGAAGCATACAGCCGGTGCTGCCATTTCGGCGCTCATAGCTAGCATTCAACAATTCTAGCACTGTCCAACCACGTACTCATTTACAGCTGATTAGACTAGAAAAAGCGGAGAAAAGTATCTTGTTCAAAGATACAACACATACCGTGCCGTAACGTGACTCGAATCCGCAACCCTTCGGTCACGAGCCCGGCGTCCTACCACTACCGTGCCTCCAAAAGTAATAATTCGAGGTTCTTATGTACTGCAATGCCCAACCACGTACTCAAATAACTCAGTTATTTCCACTTTCACTTCCGTTATACCCAGAATGCCCAACTTTCCTTTCGTTTAGTTATTTTCATAGTTTGCATACCGCAAACTGCGAGGGATCGTCAATTATAATAACTCGGCAAGGTCCTTACTTTATTTAACCACTGAAGAGTTTTTGTCATTTTGGGAACAGTTTCAACCACAACGGTGAAGTCTGAGTATAACAATGATAATTTTTCAATACGACATGCGTTGCATTGTTATTTTAACAGAAGGAAAAAAAACATTCAAATTTGAATAAAACAAACAACTTTAATTCTGTAAACATATTACGCTAATTCAACATCAGGAGTGCACAGCAGCTTGGCTTTAGCTATCAAGGATTTGTGTCATGTTATTATTTTGTTACCTTCCGAGTAACATAGTTTAAAATTATTATACGTCGTTGTTGTTTTTAGCTCACCTGGCCAGAAGGGCCGTGGTGCGGCGTCCGTCGTCAATATTTTATTTTCAACAACTTCTTCTCAATAACCAAAAGGCCCAGGGTACTGATATTGGGCCTGTATCATGCTGGGATGAAGGGCTACCAAGTGTGTTCAAATGAACGACCTTTACCCACTTTCAAGGTCACAGGGGTAAAATGTCGTAAAATCTTCAAACAACTTCTTCTCAATAACCAAAAGGCCAAGGGTACTGATATTGGGCCTGTAGCATGCTGGGATGCAGGGCTACCAAGTTCGTTCAAATGAATGACCTTGACCCACGTTCAAGGTCATAGGGGTCAAATGTCGTAAAATCTTCAAATCACTCTTCTCAATAACCAACAGGCCTAGGGTACTGATATTGGGCCTGTAGCATGCTGGTATGAAGGGTTACCAAGTTTGTTCAAATGAATGACCTTGACCCACTTTCAAGGTCACTGGGGTCAGATGTCTTAAAATATTAAAATAACTTTTTTCTCAATAACCAAATTGCAAAGGGTACTGATATTGGGCCTGTAGCATGCTGGGATGAAGGACCGCCAAGTTTGTTAAAATGAATGACCTTGACCCACTTTCAACCTAATATCCTTGTTCGACATTCAAGGTTACAGGGGTCATATGTTTAAATCTTGTAATAGGTTCTTATGAATCAAAAACTGATATTCTGCCTTATTCAATAAGTGAGCGATGCAGGCCCATTGGTCCTCTTATTTATTTTGCCATGAATAACCGGTGCTAACCTGGTCTCCAATTCATCATCCTATTATCTTTTCTGATCAAAAACACGAAAGAGGTCAACCAAAAAGATGAAATCGTAGAGGAGCAATAAATAACAAATGACACATAAAGGCCAATATATAGATACATTTGTTTAGCTTACCTTGTGAGAGAGACATCCCCTCTCTACTACCACTGACCCCGTGACCCTTACTATCTCTCGTGCGTAACAGCCCTAGACGGCAAAATAAACGACAAGAATGTTATTTTTTGCATCAGAACCGCAATTTTTTAGACCATAGAATGACATGTCTTTACTATATTGAATTGGATGTGAATATTATATATATCAACTTCATGTTTATGCCTATTATCATTGTTATCATGCAATTGTAAATGTATGACGGGAGAAGACTGTGATTAGTTGTATTAAGTTGTGCCCAATCCCTTATTGGCAATAAAATATGTTTATAAAGTCAAGTGAAATAAATCGATGGAAACCATATTAATCTTCGATTACCAGAACTGCTCCATCTAATTCTAGTTACGCTGTTGTCAGTTGAACAGGAAGTCCATGTGCGGTCTTCTCTGGTGACGGATTTCCGTTTTCATTTGCTATATTTAGTGTATGTATGATGTATTTATGTGTTTTCATGTCACAGGAGATAAATGGAGTCTCGTTATTTGGTGTGTTTTAATTATAACTCTACCGAACGGGTTCTATAATCTTATGTTAAGATTCAACGGTGATTTTGTTCATAATTGTCTTACAAATATGAGCGTTATGAGCGGTATTCCAAAAGAGAAAAACGTGAAAAATACTTGGGATCAAAGGAAAATGGCGGAGAGTTCAGAGTGAGAAAAATGGAGAAAAAATACATCAATTTCAAAAAATATATAAAAATATTCAAAACAGCATCTTAACTGAATGTTTTACTTATATATTCTGTTGGTTCGACCCGAAAAGTTGAAGAGATAGATAAGCTCATAATATTTAATATCTACTTACAACGTTAACTATAAGTAATCAGTGTGTTACCGAGTTATCAGTTCATAAAACTTTGACAATATCACGTGAACGGTTGTCAGGGTACTGACCTCGCCTTCGGGACACATAGTGATGCCGCTACAGTTGGAATTGTTTGTCACATTGTGGCACTGCATACAAATAGGGCCACCTACAACATAAAACAGGGTCAAGGTCAGTTAAAAATAGACTGTAATGTTGGATTAAGTGCATGGAGCAGTGTGGGTAATGTTTTCATCGTTTTGTCAAATTTAGATCTTTATACAGACAATTCTCTTGAGGAAACGTTAAAAAATTAGACATGTTTTTCATATCATGTAGTTTTCAAAGAAAATAGAAACAAATTGCAAACAGCTAGCATCAATGGCACTTTTCTTGTGTCGCTCAAATTTCATATTTTTCACTAATGATGGAGCCACTATGCATAGATTTCAGCCCTTATATAGAAACCACACAATTAACCGGAGCATGCGCAAATAATGCACATGCATTAAAAAGCATGTCTGGAAAAGGTGAGTGGATACTTTTGGCAATTCAACTTAGACAATGGGACACATTTCAGCTAATCAGCTACTACTTTTAAGAATGATCATTTACGTATATTTTCTCTGAGATATTGAGATGAAATAACATTGATTATTGTAAACAACATATAATCTTTAACAATGTAAAGTTCTGTCGATGTTAAAAACAACGGAGATAACCGGGACGCGGGTGGTGCAGTGGATAGAGCAGTTGTCTTTCACCAAGGCGGCCGGGGTTCGATTCCCCGATCGGATGTGAAAAGGTTGGGGTCACCTGCCCGATCACGTCGGTTTTCTCCGGGTATTCCGGTTTCCTCCCACACAAAGACACCCCCACGCGCTAACATCCGGGCCAACAAGAGTTATTAATATAAGTTACTGTTGTTAAATAAATAAAGTTTATATTTTTTTATTTACAGGGACGCGCCGTTCAAGTTTATCAAAACACCTTTACTGAAAAAGATTTTTTTTTATTATGAAAATGATATTAATAAGAATAACTAATTCTAGGTTAAATTTCCTGTGTTAATGTTTCTATAACTATCCATTAACATGTATATCAAACCAAAGCAGCTGTTAGGGAATAATTGACTGGAGGCAGGATGTTTGTGTCAATGTACGTTACCTGAACTACTTAAAGCTCAGATGGTCTACAATCGTTGTTTTCGTACGTCTGAACGAGATTTCATCCAATCACAGAAACGCAAAGAAGACAGATTAAGGTTAGCGCGTGATAAACCCATATTAAACCGAAAATCATCAAGAGTTACATGATACCGATGGTTTTAAGTACGATTGTCGGATACTAGTGCAGCATATGCATTCGTCAGTATTATATATGTATTGCCTTCACTGTAGGGAAACACGGTCCTTTGTTTTCTCCGAGGTTAATTTGTTTGTTGGTTTGTTTGTGTTGTACATCCTATTAACAGCTACGGTCCTTTAGGGACATGCCAGGTTTGGTTTGTTTGTGTTTTACATCTTATTAACAGCTATGGTCCTTTAGGGACATGCCAGCTTTGTTTTGTTTGTGTTGTACATCCTATTAACAGCTATGGTCCTTTATGGACATGCCAGGTTTGGTTTGTTTGTGTTGTACATCCTCTTAACAGCTATGGTCCTTTATGGACATGACAGGTCTGGTTTGTTTGTGTTGTACATCCTATTAACAGCTATGGTCCTTTATGGACATGACAGGTCTGTTTTGTATGTGTTGTACATCCTATTAACAGCTATGGTCCTTCAGGGACATGCCAGGTTTGGTTTGTTTGTGTTTTACATCCTATTAACAGCTATGGTCCTTCAGGGACATGCCAGGTTTGGTTTGTTTGTGTTTTACATCTTATTAACAGCTATGGTCCTTTAGGGACATGCCTGGTTTGGTTTGTTTGTGTTTTACATCCTATTAACAGCTATGGTCCGTAAGGGACATGCCTGGTTTGGTTTGTTTGTGTTTTACATCCTATTAACAGCTATGGTCCTTCAGGGACATGCCAGGCTTGGTTTGTTTGTGTTTTACATCTTATTAACAGCTATGGTCCTTTAGGGACATGCCAGCTTTGTTTTGTATGTGTCGTACATCCTATTAACAGCTATGGTCCTTCAGGGACATGCCAGGCTTGGTTTGTTTGTGTTTTACATCTTATTAACAGCTATGGTCCTTTAGGGACATGCCAGCTTTGTTTTGTATGTGTCGTACATCCTATTAACAGCTATGGTCTTTTAGGGACATGCCAGGTTTGGTTTGTTTGTGTTGTGCATCCTATTAACAGCTATGGTCTTTTAGGGACATGCCAGGTTTGGTTTGTTTGTGTTTTACATCTTATTTACAGCTATGGTCTTTTAGGGACATGTCTGGTTTGTTTTGTATGTGTTGTACATCCTATTAACAGCTATGGTCCTTCAGTGACATGCCAGGTTTGGTTTGTTTGTGTTTTACATCTTATTAACAGCTACGGTCCTTTAGGGACATACCAGGTTTGGTTTGTTTGTGTTTTACATCCTATTAACAGCTATGGTCCTTTAGGGACATGCCAGGTTTGGTTTGTTTGTGTTTTACATCTTATTAACAGCTATGGTCCTTCAGTGACATGCCAGGTTTGGTTTGTTTGTGTTTTACATCCTATTAACAGCTATGGTCCTTTAGGGACATGCCAGGTTTGGTTTGTTTGTGTTTTACATCCTATTAACAGCTATGGTCCTTTAGGGACATGCCAGGTTTGGTTTGTTTGTGTTGTACATCCTATTAACAGCTATGGTCCTTTAGGGACATGCCAGGTTTGGTTTGTTTGTGTTGTACATCCTATTAACAGCTATGGTCCTTTAGGGACATGCCAGGTTTGGTTTGTTTGTGTTGTACATCCTATTAACAGCTATGGTCCTTTAAGGACATGCCAGGTTTGGTTTGTTTGTGTTGTACATCCTATTAACAGCTATGGTCCTTTAGGGACATGCCGGGTTTGGTTAATTTGTGTTGTACATCCTATTAACAGCTATGGTCCTTTAGGGACATGCCTGGGTTGGTTTGTTTGTGTTGTACATCCTATTAACAGCTATGGTCCTTTAAGGACATGCCAGGTTTGGTTTGTTTGTGTTGTACCTCCTATTAACAGCTATGGTCCTTTAAGGACATGCCAGGTTTGGTTTGTTTGTGTTGTACCTCCTATTAACAGCTATGGTCCTTTAAGGACATGCCAGGTTTGGTTTGTTTGTGTTGTACCTCCTATTAACAGCTATGGTCCTTTAAGGACATGCCAGGTTTGGTTTGTTTGTGTTGTACCTCCTATTAACAGCTATGGTCCTTTAAGGACATGCCAGGTTTGGTTTGTTTCTGTTGTACATCCTATTAACAGCTATGGTCCTTTAAGGACATGCCAGGTTTGGTTTGTTTGTGTTGTACATACTATTAACAGCTATGGTCCTTTAGGGACATGCCAGGTTTGGGTTGTATTTGTTGTACATCCTATTAACAGCTATGGTCCTTTAAGGACGTGCCATGTTTTGGTGGTGGAGGAAAGCCGGAATTCCCGGAAAAAAACCACCGACCTTCGGCCAGTACCTGGCAACTACCACACGTAGGTCTCGAACCCGCGATCCAATGGTTAATCATGTTAAAAGAATCGCGATTCCCTACTGCCAGGACAATATGCCGGAAAAAAATCTAAAACTATAGCACAATGGTAGAGATGATCGGGCCGACGAGCCATAATTGTTGTCTGCTTCCGTCATTCGGAACTACTTATAAAGGTTGTGGTGGCTATTTTCCTAGAGAGTCTCCGAATAAGGGAAATACGATCGGTGAAACTTGACGGTTAGGGTGAGGGTGACATGATGTTTCGTTACTCCTCGTGTTTATTGAGTGATGTCAGTTCGTCATAAATATATAAATATTTCAATAAATAAATAAGTTATTCAACGAACAAATTAATAAGAATGTAATTAATTAAATAAATAAATATATAAATAGAATATAAATTGTAGCAAACTTTCCTACGTCTATGTAAATAGTTAAGTCTCGATTCTTAAATGAAATAAATAAATAAATAAAAGATAACGGAAATATTCAAGTGTGTAGATTCCAGCAAACTGATATACGACTATGTGAATAAGTAAGTCTAATACCTTCCGTGAAACAATAAATGAATAAAAAAAATATAATTTTTAAGTGCGTTGATTACAGCAAACTTATACACGTTTTTGTAAATAATTATGTCTAATTCCTAAATGGTATGAGAAGTGACTTTGTCCAGATTACCGTGATTCTATTGTAATTTACTTACGGGCGGTACATGACGTAAGTGTCCACATTATCACACATATCACCAGCAGTGACGTCAGAGGTTCCCTCACCTGCAGTGACGTCATAGTTGCCCGCATCTGCAAGTACAGCAAGTAAAACAAGAATTGCAGCAGAAATTGTCACAGAGTCTTCAAAGCTATTCACGAGGTCGCTAATGATGCGTAAAAAAATGGAAATCGAATCCGCACAAACGAACTAAACTAATTGCGGAATAAATGTCTTACCCAATCAGAGGCCACGGCGGCCATATTTAATATGGAAATCGAAATTTGGTCATTGGACAGAAATATTACCGTTTAGTATCATTTAAAAAGTATCAAGAATCTGAGATAATACAAGAAAGACTGACTAAACGTACATTGTACGAAATACCATAATCTCACACGGACAAAATATACTGTATGCCAGGGAACTTTCACTCTGTCTAATATTCGCCCTTCGCCGATACACTCGATGTTCACCCAGTGTCATGTTGTCCTCACATGTAAAAACTGTATATAGTTAGCTGTCTACTTATATTCACTCTTATGATGAATTCGCCTTCATAGCGGAGGGTGAAAAAGGCGAAAATAATACTAAGGGAAAATTTTATGCAGGCAGTAAACATATATCATAGCAATATCTCAAAACAGGCAACAAGATCACACAGGTCCACCCAGTAGTCTTAACAGCCCGACAATACAATAAGATCATACAGGGCCACACGGTAGTCTTAACAGCCCGAAAATACAATAAGGCCATAAAGGGCCACACGGTAGTCTTAACAGCCCGAAAATACAATAAGGCCATACAGGGCCACACGGTAGTCTAAACAGTCCGACAATATAATAAGGTCATACAGGGCCACACGGTAGTCTTAACAGTCCGACAATACAATAAGGCCATACAGGGCTACATGGTAGTCTTAACAGTCCGACAATTCAATAAGGTCATACAGGGCCACACGGTAGTCTTAACAGTCCGACAATACACTAAGGCCATACAGGGCCACACAATAGTCTTAACAGTCCGACAATACAATAAGGCCATACAGGGCCACATGGTAGTCTTAACAGTCCGACAATACAGTAAGGCCATACAGGGCCACATGGTAGTCTTAACAGTCCGAAAATTAAATAAAGCCATACAGGGCCACACGGTAGTCCTAACAGTCCGACAATTCAATAAAGCCATACAGGGCCACACGGTAGTCCTTACAGTCCGACAATACAATAAGGCCATACAGGGCCACACGGTAGTCTAAACAGTCCGAAAATGCAATAAGGTCATACAGGGCCACACGGTAGTCTGAGCGGGCCGACATGAGAAAATGGTCATACAGGGCCACACGGTAGTCTTAACAACCCGACAATACATTAAGGCCATAAAGGGCCACACGGTAATCTTAACAGTTCTACAATACAATAAGGCCCTACAGGCCGACACGGAAGTCTTAACGGCTTATCAATACGAAAATATCATACAGGTTTATCTGTTTGATTTTGCATGTCGAAATGATTATTAAAGGTAAGAAAATATGCTGTCACTAATTGGCCCGATTCATAAAACGCTGTTGACAGCAGGTCAGTCTTTAGTGACAGAACTAAGGTTATGAAATAAGGTCGGACCCAGCAATCTAATGCTGCTTTCAGGCGAGCCTTGACAAAGCCTTGGAAGGCCCGCATAAACATTTGAAGGTCCGCCAGGATTTATACCCGAAATGTTACATTTAAAAACAGACAAACCGTTTGTCCCACATAAACGAACAGGCCCCATGTAGCTCAGTTAGTTAGACATACAGAAAAGCAATATAAAGTCCAGGGTTCGAATCCTGTTTGTTTATTTCTTGTTTATGTCTATTTTTCGTAAAATTCCCTCAAGGTATGGTTTTCTTTTGGGATATGATTTATCAAATTTATAGTCAAGAAAACCCCCCATATTTATAGTTTTCGGCAGTGGTACGGGGTTCATGAAGCGGCAGTGGACAAGTGGTTAAGGCGTCTGACATTCTGCTACCACTAGCCCTCCACCACTGGGTCGCGGGTTCGAGGCTTACGTGGGGCAGTCGCCAGGTATTGGTCGCCGGTCGGTGGTTTTTCACCGGGTACCCCTGCTTTCCTCCACCACCAAAACCTAGCACTTATTTAATTGACCATAGCTGTTAATAGGACGTAAAACACAGACAAACCAAACAAACCAAATCCTGAAGTAAAATAGCTATTTCATCGTCTTGAGACTGGCCTCAATTAATAAACAAAATATTGAAATTCTAGTTCATTGAAATGTTGTCTATTACTGAAATCTTAAATCATTATGTAACTTCACATACATGTTTAATCAACATATTGCAAAGCAAGCGTAATTCTGTCTAAAGAGATTTCCGAGAGAACTTGATGTTGCAGACATCAGAAGTATAGACGTACACTGACGTTAGACAGCTGATCTCCATCATTATCTCTTCCTTCCCGACTGACGTCTGTGATATCGAATGTCATTTTTTAAACCTTTTATGTTGATAATTAATCATTTTTCCTATAGCTGTGATATAAAACACATGTTCTGCAGGTAGTTACGCGCAATTGATGTCGAACGGATATTCCTTGGTCAACGCCGTAATTTACGGTATGGTAAAGATACATGATAGATCATAACACACAGCTTATATCGCAGTACACTGATACTGATAGGTAGACCATTACACACGGTATGTAACACGGTACACGAACAACCATTACACACGGTATGTAACACGGTAAACTATTACACATGGTATGTAACACGGTACACGAACAACCAATACACACGGTATGTAACACGGTAAACCATTACACATGGTAGGTTATACGGTACACGAACAACCATTACACACGGTATGTAACACGGTAAACCATTACACATGGTATGTAACACGGTACACGAACAACCATTACACATGGTATGTAACACGGTAAACCATTACACATGGTATGTAACGAGGTACACGAACAACCAATACACACGGTATGTAACACGGTACACGAACAACCATTACACACGGTATGTAACACAGTACACGTTACCATTACACACGGTATGTTACACGGTACACGAACAACCATTACACAAGGTATGTTAACGGTACACGAACAACCATTACACACGGTATGTAACACGGTACACGAACAACCATTACACACGGTATGTAACAATGTACACGAACAACCATTACACACGGTATGTAACACGGTACACGTTACCATTACACACGGTATGTAATACGGTACACGAACAACCATTACACGGGGTATGTAACACGGTACACGAACAACCATTACACACGGTATGTAACACGGTACACGAACAACCATTACACACGGTATGTAACACGGTACATGAACAACCATTTCACACGGTATGTAACAAGGTACACGAACAACCATTACGCATGGTATGTAACACGGTACACAAACAACCATTACACACGGTATGTAACAAGGTACACGAACAACCATTACACACGGTATGTAACACGGTACAAGAACAACCATTACACACGGTATGTAACACAGTACACGAAACGCTTACACACGGTATGTAACACGGTACACGAATAACTATTACACACGGTATGTAACACGGTACACGAACAACCATTACACATGGTATGTAACACGGTACACGAACAACCATTACACACGGTATGTAACACGGTACACGTTACCATTACAAACGGTATGTAACACGGTACACGAACAACCATTACACATGGTATGTAACACGGTACACGAATAACCTTTACACACGGTATGCAACACGGTACACGAACAACCATTACACACGGTATGTAACATGGTACACGAACAACCATTGCACACGGTATGTAACACGGTACACGAACAACCAGTACACACGGTATGTAACACGGTACACGAACAACCATTACACACGGTTTGCAACACGGTACACGAACAACCATTACACATGGTATGCAACACGTTATACGTAACCATTACACACGGTATGTAACACGGTACACGAACAACCATTACACATGGTATGTACCGCGGTACACGGTAAACCATCACACACGGTAAGTACCGCGGTACACGGTAAACCATTACACACGGTATGTACCGCAGTACACGGTTAACCATTACACACAGTTTATACCCTGGTACACGGTAAACCATAACACACGGTTCATACTATGGTACATAGTAAACTATTTCACATCCATAATACACGGTATGTACCACGGTATATGATAGACCATTATATAAGTTATGTACCGCAGTACACGGTAAACCATTACACACGGTATGTAACACAGTACACGGTAAACCATTACACACGGTATGTACCGCAGTACACGGTAAACCATTACACACGGTTTATACCCTGGTACACGGTAAACCATTTCACACGGTTTATACTCTTGTACATAGTAAACTATTCCACATCCATAATACACGGTATGTACCTCGGTATATGATAGACCATTATATAAGTTATGTACCGCAGTACACGGTAAACCATTACACACGGTATGTACCACAGTACACGGTAAACTATTACACATGGTATGTACCGCAGTACACGGTAAACTATTACACACGGTATCACCGCAGTACACGGTAAACCATTAGACACGGTATGTACCGCAGTACACGGTAAACCATTAGACACGGTATGTACCGCAGTACACGGTAAACCATTACACACGGTTTATACCCTGGTACACGGTAAACCATTACACACGGTTTATACTCTGGTACATAGTGAACTATTCCACATCCATAATACACGGTATGTACCTCGGTATATAATAGACCATTATATAAGTTATGTACCGCAGTACACGGTAAACCATTACACACGGTATGTACCACAGTACACGGTAAACCATTACACATGGTATGTACCGCAGTACACGGTAAACTTTTACACACGGTATCATCGCAGTACACGGTAAACATTAGACACGGTATGTACCGCAGTACACGGTAATCCATTACACACGGTTTATACCCTGGTGCAAGGTAAACCATTACACACGGTTTAAACTCTGGTACATAGTGAATTATTCCACATCCATTACACACGGTATGTACCTCGGTATATGATGGACCATTATATAAGTTATGTTCCGTAGTACCATTACACACGGTTTTATACCCTGGTATATAGTGAACTATTCTACAACTTTTATACACGGTATGTACCGCGAAACACGGTAAACCATTACACACGGTTTATACCCTGCTATATAATGAACTATTCCACGACTATTACACACGGTATGTACCGCGGTACACGGTAAACCATTACACACGGTATGTACCGCAGTACACGGTAAACCATTACACACGAAAATGTACCGCAGTACACGGTAAACCATTACACACGGTATGTACCGCAATACACGGTTAACCATTACACACGGTATGAATATCAGTACATGATAAACCATTACGCACGGTATGTACCGCAGCAAACGGTAAACCATTACACATGGTATATTCAAGCATTGAACTGCTTTCATTTGGAATTCATATTGTCTATGAATGACAGTTGAAATCAGTTCAATACTTATATTTACGATTTTTGGAATCTGTTCATCTCATAAGAAGTTCAATTACACTTATTATTATAATAGACCATTACACACGGTATGTTAGGCGGTATATAATAGACCATTACACACGGTATGTTAGGCGGTAAATACTAGACCATTACACACGGTATGTACCGCGGTATATAATAGACTATTACACACGGTATGTACCGCGGTATATAATAGACCATTACACAGGGTATGTACCGCGGTATATAATAGACGGTTTTACACGTTTTTATAACGCAGTACTTGTTGAACCATTATACATGTTAAATACCACGGTTCTTGGTAGAACATAGCACAGGTATGTACCGCGGTATATAATGAACATTACACACGGTATGTTAGGCGATATATAATGAACATTACCCACGGTATGTTAGGCGATATATAATGAACATTACACACGGTATGTTAGGCGGTATATAATAGACCATTCCACACGGTCTCTGTAGAGAGCGAAAGTGAAGGTAACCCCTGGATGTCGAGGATGAGTAAACTATTACATACAATATCTCACGTCGTACTTGGTATAACATTGCACTCGTTATGTACTTTGGTACATGGTAGACCATTAACCTTGGTAGCAATTTCTCTGGTTAATATATCATTGGGGCATTGCTTGTCTGTTACTAATTAATTCTGATTGACTTTTAATAAGAGTATTGAATAGCTCAAAATATCAATTAAATATTTATATATACATACATGGATTTATCTCCCCTATACCATCTGCTATATATAGACTGAGGATTTATGCTATTTATAATATATAATTTGCATCAATTTTTTTTACTACCCGTTTCATCTTTGTCTTTGTCATGTCAACCTAAGGGGAGAAATTATATGGACATAGCCTGCTGTTCAATCCTAATGTTTACTCAATAAAATATGATGAAATTATATTAATTTAACCATGGTTACACTTTACCTAGTGTGTCATTACACGTTATGTTGCATTTTTATTTGGTTTTATTACCCAGCAATTGTGTATCAAAGAATGATAATCATCTACGAAGCGTATATTTATTTCATAAATTTGTTTTTCGAGGGGTTAAATAATTCTGTTGTAATATCCCAATATTTCTATATTAGACCTACCTTAAGCTTGAAATGTCGTAGTCACGTTTAGGTAAGTACGTTGATCGGTGTTCTCAGACCTAGACGTGATAAGATAAGACCTGTATCCAGGCCAATGGCAATGCATGTTCTATCCCAGCCCCAATACATGTCAGTGTTTTATCCCACACCTAGTTTCTTTAAAAATAATATTTTGTCATTAATTTATTAAATATTGATCCCCTCTCCTGATTCATACTTCTCGTTCCCTCCTTCACGAATGCTATTGACTCCGCCATGATATGGTGTGGATTACTCTATGGAAGAGCAATGTAAGTACAATGACAGGAGGTTAACTCAATGTTGTGTTTCTGTGTAGTCGTTATTGAAGAATAGAGTTATCGTTCTTGTTTGCAGAACAAAAGGTCGGACCCACGGGGACTTGACACGTTCCTATCCCTCTGGTCGGACCCAGTAATCTGATGCTGCTTTCAGGCAAGCCTTGACATTTGCAGGTCCGCGAAAATTTGTACCAAAAATGTTACATTTAAAAACTGACGAACCGGTTGTTCCGCATAAACAGACCCCTGGTGATTTTCAGCAATTTTGAAGCATTATCAACACGCGGTTGTTATGGATTAAAAATAAAAATTAAGATACGAAAATCAAGATTAATATTGTTATCGTGTTGCGATACACACGCTGTGATCTGTACGGGTGATAGAAAACACCAAGTCTATGCTGTTTCCATGCATGGATACAGGCAATTGTATTTCAAAAATAGGTAACGTAACATTTCCCCTTGGTTCAATAGGTTGTAATCGAATGATCTGACTAGCATGGTTACTTACCAGGGCTGTCTATCTCGACTACTTACCAGGGCTGTCTATCTCGACTGCTTACTAGGACTGTCTATCTCGACTACTTACCAGGGCTGTCTATCTCGACTACTTACCAGGGCTGCCTATCTCGACTACTTACCAGGGCTGTCTATATCGACTACTTACCAGGGCTGTCTATCTCGACTCAAATGTGTTTAATAACATGTCGAGTTATTTGGAAGGTGTATCGCCATGTTTAGTGTAATATAGGCCATAGCAGTGTATTCATGACTCAATAAACCTTCTAATGAGTGTGATAGTTTTTTCCCATAAACTTTCCAGTTGACGTATTCATACGCGACAGCAAAATAGTACGGGAAATAGTCCTATTTATAGATTGTTTTGTCATGTTTCTTTAGAAGTAATCATGTATTTATTATTTATGTTGTTTTAACATTGCTATCATCACAAACATCGAGTTGTCTTATCATAACCACCTAATACATTTATAAATGACGTCACATGTCTCGGCACCTTCCGTGTTATTCTACTTGATCATGTCCGATATTTTTAGATAATTATTTGGCCCGGATGTTAGCGCATAGGAGGTCTTAATGTGGGAGTAAACCGGCGTACCCGGAAAAACCCATGTGGTCGGGCAGGTGACCTCATACCTTTTAACGTCCAATCGAGGAGACGGGAACCCCGGTCGAATTGGTGAAAGGCAAGTGCGCTATCCACTACGTCACCTGACCACCCGTAATTATTTTAGGTAAAACACATTATTTACAATTACTGTATTGTCACAAACAGAAAACAAAAGAAGAGCAGCTATGTTTACACGCCAATAAAATGAGTCAAAAACTTGACCTAGCCGGTGACGTAACAATTGGCGTAGGAATACAAATACACAAGTCAAAGGTTACCAAGGTCCATTCATGTTTACAAACAAAAAACACTTGATGGTATTTCATATAATATAATGACTTGTTGTTTAGTAACAGAGCATGCTATCTTTTTTTTCAATATAAACTTTATTTGTTTTACAACAATTATGAAGGAAGTTATTTCAACTGATATTAATCACTATTGTTGGCCCGGATGTTAACGCGTAGGTCGTTCTAGTGTTGGAGGAAACCGGAGTCCCCGGGGAAAACCCACGTGGTCGGGCAGGTGACTCCATACCTTTTCACGTCCGATCGGGGAATCGCAAGTGCGCTTTCCACTGCACTACCCGACAACTCATTTTTTTTCTTTCTTAAATTTCCCTTTACAGTCGGATTAATATGAACAATATGAATACGCGTACGCCTGATATGTATAAACAACGAAGATAAACTGTCCTGTCCACGCAAACCTTATTGGACTGGACTGACGACTGAGGTAGCTAGATCGGGTCTCTGGTAAACAACAACAACAACAGAAAACGTCATGTGGCAACAACGAAATCACAAACCTACACATCTATAGGCTAAATGTGTGATATCATTAACATGGGTGTCTTGGTTACTCGGAAAAATACATTAAAATGTTTGAAAACATTTGACTCAGTCCTTTTTGTTCCCATGACGACCAAATGCAGTCGCAAAGTTCCATGGGAACAACGTTTCATTACTAAAATGTATTGTTTTGTTTGGATATAAAATCCTAGTTTAGCTAGAAATACCATTTCATAACCGTTAAAAATCGTCCTTAGTTTGACATGACGTCCATGTTTCCATAGTTACAACTCGTCCGATCGCTGAGAACATGAAACTGTGTTGAAAATAACATGTCATTATTGTAGATTAAGATACCAATAATAACACCTGCTATTTCCACTAGCGCTTTCCACTGGCATCCCAATTCGTACAATATTAATGGTTTCTACATGATTTTACAGATACTGCAAAGTTCTAATATTTAGCAAGTAATTGAAATCCTATTAATCTGTTTCCTCGCCCTGTCATATCCTTGTTTTTGGCATGGCCACAATAACTGACGCGCAAAAGGAAATAATGTATAAACACTTATTTTGCAGCTATTATGATCCTGTATCATTGTTGTGTCCCAAAATCTCGTACTGTGACCTATGGACACCGGTGCTTTGGGAGAGTTTCGACCACATTGTGGAATAGCTTACCATCTGCTATTAGAAAGTCAAATACCCTGGTCAAATTCAAGAGGGGCATCAAAACTCACCTCTTCACGTCTGCATTTTAGGCTCTTTACAAAGACGTCATGTAAATAACACACTTTATTTATTCATTTATGTGCCCATTGCGATGATTAACTGCTTGCTTAATGTATAAAAGTGATTGTAAGCCCTTGTTTTTGTTTCACAATTATAACTTATACTATTATCCATATGTTGTAAAGCGCTTTAGAGTCATTTTACAAATTAAATAGGGCGCTATACACATTAAGTATATTATATTATTATATTATCCTATACAGCTACTACATCGGAGTCCCTGGATATGCTATCGAATCACGTGGTATTGTTAAGATATCTTACATGTCAGTTTCTAAGTCATCGGGCAATCAAAATCGTTCACTACAAAACCATTTAGTTGATATGGTCAAAACTATCCAAAAGAGGGAGGTTCATAAATTTAATTTTAAAATTGTTCTATTTGAAGTCATCTTTTTGTGACTCAAACTGCTTATTATCGAAATACTTCCATTAGACTTACTCTTTATTATCAAGTTGATATTACGAATTGTTTCATATTCAGTAGATATGATAGTTCTATGGAAAATGTCTGCAATATTTAACCCTATCGGTTATCAAAATTCTCTGCTTCAATAAATCCTTTGTGACATTTGAGATAAGAGTCACGTGTGTAGTTTGACATCAGTGTGTTTAAGAAAGTTAAAATGTCGTTGTTTCATTATTTCGCGGCGAGATCTTGACATTTAAAAAAATATCGTTGTTTCGTTATTTTGGGGTGAAATAACGACATTTTTAAATGATTAAATGTCGTGATATCGCCGCGAAATAACAAAAAGACGAAAGGACGACAATTAGAACACGAAATTACGACAGTTGTATGTCGATAATTATCGCGTTATCATTTCGTCATTTCGATTGACTTTTGTCGTCTTCTCGACGAGATGACGACAATTAAGATACAAATATGATGTCGTTATTTCGCCGCACAATAACGAAACAACGACATTCTATAATTTAACGAAATGGCACAAATAAGCCACCATAATTTGCTGTGTTTACTTACGGCAATAAGATATAACATAGCACCAGACAATTATTATCATCAGTATATGCCAATAATAGCCTATTTAATGTTGTGTCAGTCCTGACGAACGTTTTAAAAAGGGTAACTATTATACTTTAATAGCGTTTTAACGCGAGTCACAACAATTTATATACATATATAACGAGGTATTGTGTTTCTGACCGAGCATTGCTAATAACGAGTCCTTAAGCTATGCATGAAAAATAATATGTACCGTGATATTCTTTTCATTTCCCATCTACCTATGTCATTATGCCGTCATGTATCCTTTTAGTGTGACTTTTATTGTAGTTTGAAAATCAAAATCACACAACACATCTGTCTCTGCAGCTTCTGACGATCAGGTGTATTTGTTCTCAACAATATGTAGATGATGGTTGTCCTAGAGACATTCCATACATATGCGCTTTGATAGAGTGTGAAAAACTGTGATAGGTAGATGCCAGTTGATTGTCACTTCTCAATCGACTGCCAACAGTAAACAACACGAAACAGGAGAAGGAATCGCGCAAGTGTTAGGAAGCACCGTTATACCGCACAAATCACAGAAGTGTCGATATTCGGACGTATACAGTGCAGTGTAGCGACATGTGCGTGAATATTATGAAGATTCTGTCATAAATTGTGGATGTGACTAAAACCTAGCTACGGTAAGTCTAACTGTCGAATAGCTTTTATGATATTAACTATATCTTGTGTAGCGGAACCGGAATGGGCGACCAGGTAATTTTTCATCATGCTTGCTTTCAGATATTTGTTTAAAACAAGTAATTAACTATCTGGAAAAAAAAACCAGTTTAAAAAAAAAAATGTGTTAAAATACATACTTACTTGTTTCATTTTGACGTTAGATACTACGATTTACTAATGAACCAGCTTGATATTGATGTAATACAGAAAATCAAAATCAAAAGTAGGCCAACTCAAGAAAAGTCACGTCATTAAAGAAAAAACACGGACAATTCAAGAAAAATCGCCCCAGATCCCGACATTCGGAAATTCTCAACGCCATCTTCAAGACATGTTTGTTGTTCACCATGCAGTTGCCTTTGACATTCTTTTAGTTTTTCATATATATAAAATCAAGAAAAGAAATGCAAACATTATTTGTAATTTTTGAGTTATTAGTTTTAAAATAAGAAAACATGTCAACGTCTTGTAATATTAACAAATGTATCCAAAGGAATTATAACCGAAAGTTAGTCTTAACATTTTGCGCTGAACACGATTCCAGAAAATTAATTCAATATTGAAAATGGCAGTTCATTTCTCTCCCGAGATATTTACTTATGCCGGAAATAAAAATCAATGCAAGTTTCCTTTTCTTGCTGAACACGACTGCAGCAAATATTATATAGCAAGTACAATAAAACAAAACCTTTATTTTCCCCAAGTTTTAACCAGATACGCCTCAAACCTTTGTATGAGACTTTTATAAAGAATCCGACTAAACCGGGACCACTCTGTCCACGTGATAGAGATGTCAGAAATCTGTCAATAATCAATTGTGTGCGCGCCCGTATTTTTTAACGACACAGTGTTCGGATATTCTCCTAGAACATTATTAACGCTGTGGTACATTTTTGTATTGACCTTGAGTTCAGACATTTTCTGTGTTTACTGACGCTGTGGTACATTTTTGTATTGACCTTGAGGTCAGACATTGTCTGTGTTTATTGACGTGTGTGGTACATTTTTGTATATACCTTGAGGTCAGACATTGTCTGCGTTTTATTGACATTGTGGTACATTTTTGTGTCGTCCTTAATTCATTAAAACCTGTTTTACTCAATCGTGCAAATGTATTACAAAGATACTGATTCTAACTGTTTTTCTCTATATGGCCCAAGTATTTGATCCAAACAATGTTTTGTATTATCACCAAAGAATAAGTTATTCAATGATCTCTGTCCAATTGAACTGTAGTTGTTCGTACCTGCGGTTACCTCCCGTTAATGTCGGTCTGGACACACATTACGTTGATCAAGTAGATTAGTCAGTTAGGACGGCAGTATCGCAATATGAAACCCTGGGTTCGACTCCCGGTCAAGTCTTGTTAGTTTTACTTACAAAACGCTGTCGATGATTATGTTTGGTTTATTCTACCTTTACCTTTTTCCAGGAGGGTTCCGCTAGTACGAAGTTCTTTTTAAAAATTATTTATCAAAGCTTCAGTCATGCCGAAAAAAACCGAGTTTCCAATAAATAGTTACATTTTTTTGTCGCTGGTACGGGCATCTTAACCTTAATTCAACACTAACAAAATATAATATATCTTGAGTTTTTTCAGCCAATCAAAAGCGACGTTACAAACGGCGATGTAATTTCTTTACGTTATGGGCTGATAACATAATTTTTGAAGCCAATGGAAATGCTTGTTACAAGCAAGATTAAATATTATTTTATTAATTTATTACAGAAACAGCGAGATTGAAAGAAAGTGACGACATGTCAATGGAACATCAGGGTTCTTGCGTCAGGAGTCGATGACCTACGATGAAGTGACGTCACCTAGTCACGGATCAATTTTCTTTTTGTTTGTTAAAACCATCGACATTATTACATTTTGTATGTGAAATGTTATGAAAATTATTTCATCTTTGTTTACGGAACGCGTTTTGTGTAAGAAACAACCAAACGGGACAAAACGAAACAAAATGGCTGACATTTCAAATCTTACGAAGTCCTCTTATTCCAGTAACACGGTAAATGATCCCATGACTTTTTTCCTCTTCCCCGCTCTCGTGATCTGTCTTATCGGTATACCAGGTACTTTAAAAACTATCCACTTCTACCGGAGGCAGAGTAAAACGTCTGCCGGAGCCACGCCCATCCTTCTCATGGTTCTTGCTGTCTACGACACGTTAGCCTTGGTTACAAGTATACCTTATATATGCCTTGCCATCAATATGCTCTTTGTTGATAGCCATGAAGGTGCGCAAATGTTCTTTTGTCATTATTATATACCGAACTATCTGGTGCGTTTTCCTAAATATTGCTCCAACTTCTTACTCATGATCATCGCCATGAGTCGGCTTTACAGCGTTCTGCGCCCCCTCACTTGGAAGAAGGTGTTCACGAGGAATTTGGCGTTGGGTTGTACAGGGGCGGTAACGATAGTTATTCCTTTCTGTCTACTTCCCCTCGCTTTCGAGTTTTCGTGTGTGGAGATAAACAACAATACTGTTGCCTATAAACAGCTATCGGATTTCGGTAAGAACCGCGGCCTGTTTAAGACTATATATATATTCAATATGATTATGTATTACTTCGTGCCTCTATTTACAGTCCTCGTCTGTAACATCGCCCTCATCATCTTCCTATTTCATCGCATGTACAACCCAATGAACACTGTACTCTTGACGTCATCACAGGCGCGTGAACTAAAAATGACAAAGCTCGGTCTGGTGCTCACGTGCATATTCGTGGTGTGCGTGTCTCCCCTTGGAATCTTTTATCCCCTACGAGGGTTGGGGAGTTCTCCGATCCCACAGCCCGTGTACCGGGCCATTATGCCAGTGGCTACTCTCCTGGAATCGATTAACTACTCGGTCAACTCTCTTGTTTACTATATCGGCAGTGCTCGTTTCCGGGCAGATTTCCAACAGATCATTTGCTGTAAAAAATCAAGGGTCAGTCCTGAGAGATAGTAATCCAGTTCTCGTGCCTTTGTGACGACACTGGCAGGATTAAAAAACTTTGAATGACTTTAACAAATCGTCTGTCAATAATATTATGGTCAGACTATAACAGACCATCTGTCTACAATCGTGGACATACTCTAACAGACAGTCGGTCTACAATCGTGGAATGACTATAACAGACCGTCTGTCTACAATTGAGGACCTACTCTAACAGACAGTCTGTTGTCTACAATCGTGGACATACTCTAACAGACCGTCTGTCTACAATCGTGGAATGACTATAACAGACCGTCGTTCTACAATCGTGGACATACTCTAACAGACAGTCTATCTACAATCGTGGACATACTATAACAGACCGTCTGTCTACAATCGTGGAATGACTCTGACAGACAGTCTGTCTACAATCGTGGAATGACTCTGACAGACCGTCTGTCTACAATCGTGGAATGACTCTAACAGACAGTCTGTCTACAATCGTGGAATGTCTCTGACAGTCTGTCTACAATCGTGGACATACTCAAGCAGACCGTCTGTCTACAATCGTTGACATACTCTAACAGACAGTCTGTCTACAATCGTGGACATACTCTAACAGACCGTCTGTCTACAATCGTGGACATACTATAACAGACAGTCTGTCTACAATCGTGGAATGACTCTAACAGACCGTCTGTCTACAATCGAGGACATACTATAACAGACAGTCTGTCTACAATCGTGGAATGACTCTAACAGACAGTCTGTCTACAATCGTGGACATACTCTAACAGACCGTCTGCCTACAATCGTGGACATACTCTAACAGACCGTCTGCCTACAATCGTGGACATACTCTAACAGACCGTCTGTCTACTATCGTGGACATACTCTAACAGACCGTCTGTCTACTATCGTGGACATACTCTAACAGACCGTCTGTCTACAATCGTGGACATACTCTAACAGACCGTCTGTCTACAATCGTGGACATATTCTAACAGACAGTCTGTCTAAAATCGTGGCCATACTCTAACAGACAGTCTGTCTACAATAATGGACGAACTATAACAGCCAGTCTGTCTACAATCGTGGACATACTCTAACAGCCAGTCTGTCTACAATCGTGTAAAGACTCTGACAGACAGTCTGTCTACAATCGTGGACAAACTCTAACAGACAGTCTGTCTACAATCGTGGACATACTCTAACAGACAGTCTGTCTACAATCGTGGACAAACTCTAACAGACAGTCTGTCTACAATCTTGGACATACTCTAACAGCCAGTCTGTCTACCATCGTGAGAGAGTCTGTCTACAATCGTGGACATACTCAAACAGACAGTCTGTGCACAATCGTGGACATACTCTACCAGCCAGTCTGTCTACAAGCGTGTAAAGACTCTAACAGACCGTCTGTCTACAATCGTGGACTTACTCTAACAGACAGTCTGTCTACACTATGTTGCCAGGGAGATATCACGATGTCACCTTGGAGAAAACACATTGTTACTTAGGAATAAACACACTGTTACCTTTGAGACAATTCATTGTTTTCAGGGAGATAACACATTGTCACCGAGGAAACAACACACTGTTACTTTTAAGACAACTCATTGCTGTTAGGGAGATAAAACAATGTTACTTAGGAAACAACACACTGTAAACTTTGAGACAATTCCTGGTTGTCAGGGAGATAATATATTGTTACTTAGGACACAACACATTGATACCTTGGATATAACACACAGTTGTTCGGGGGATAATACACTGTTACCTATGAAATAACAAACTGTTTTTGTGCATATACTATACTGATACCTAAGAAACAACAAACTGTTTTTTGTGGAGATAATATACTGATACTTAGGAAACAACACACTATTTTCGAGAGATAATGCAATGTTACCTAAGAAACAACACACTGTTTTTGGAGAGATAAATCAATGTTACCAAGGAAACAACACACTGTTTATTGGAGAGATAATTCACTATTACCTAGGAAACAACACATTGATACCTAGAACATAACGTACACTTGTCAGGGAGATAGCACACCGTTACTTGGGAAATAACACATGGTTCTCAGTTAGATAGCACACTGTTACGTGGGAAACAACACATGGTTCTCAGGGAGATAACACACTGTTCCTTGGGAAACAACACATGATTATCAGGGGGATAGCACGTTGTTACTTGGTAAACATCACATACTTGTCAGTTAGATAGCACACTGTAATTTGGGAAACAACACATGGTTCTCGGGGAGATAACACACAGTTCTCGGGGAGATAACACACAGTTCTCGGGGAGATAACATTTGACAGGAAATATTAAAGGCATAGTTAGGATCCAGCAAAACTTTTCCAGTTTTGCTCTTTCGGTCCTGCCTGCATTTGAAATAGACATGGTGGTAGTTGGGGTAAATTACTCCTAACCGCCGGGAGGTGGCGTTACAATGTAAAATTCTCAAGTATCGTAATGTTAGAGAACCTACGTCTCGAAATTCAATATCTGAATGTCGAATGATGAGCCAACTTCACACAACTTAATTTGTATACAATTGACCGGAAAACGTCCACCGGAAGTCGTCAGGAGTAATCATAATTATTTGCTACGAGGGAGTATTTATTATTCTGTTAATAATCACCTTTTATTTATATATCCATGCGTTTATGTAGATATGAATATCATTAGATATTGTTATTTATCTTGTTAAACCATCCTTTTACAACTATGAATCAAGTTATAGCAAGTTATATGAGTCACTCTTGTTGTCCCGGGCGTTAGCGCACAACATGTTTTAATGTTGAAGGAAACTGGGGAACCCGGTACAAATCAGCGTGATAGGGCAGGCGAACCCATAACTTTTTTACGTCCAATCAGGAAGTCTAACGCCGGTTGTCGTGGTGAAAGGCGCCATCCACTGTGCCATTCGACCATCCTTTCATGTATACGATTAACATATAAAGGAAATTTAACATTTTCATGTTGAATGTCATAGGTATTTCATGGATACGATAAAACACTGCCACTAAAATATATGATTTCAGGAAAATCGTTTATTTTTCTATTTGTTACATCTTAAAACTTACCGCTTGGAATGACGAAACTCATTTTACTAGTATCTGGTAAAGTTTGCTTACCTTTTGTAATTTATTGTGTAGTTAAATGTTTATTTTGTTTTATATAGCATTGTACTTAAACAATCCTTTATTTTACCGTCTTTTCTTCTGTATCTGAACAGACAATCTGCTGCATTGAATGAAGTGGATGGAAAGGATAGCTCCGATTGGTCAATACTCAAAGTGACATTTTAACCCTCTGACAAATATTACTTTTTGATACCCTTCATAGTGTGTATAAATACCATACAAAAACAGTTCAATACTTATATTTACGTTTTCTCTGCCACTTATGTTCTTTTTTAACTGATAATTTATATTTAAAATTAAAAATGCCCGCCTTATCGACAGTCTACACAATTTCGTTCAATAGTTTGTACAGCGTATTGTCGCGTGCTGATTGGCAAACAAAGTAGTACTTTAAAATTTTAACAAACACTTCAATTTTATTCCACAATTCAGTATCCATACAATTGCGTATGATATGTCTATAGGGTGATTTAAGTTTATCAATAGAACCCTGAGCTAAAAGTTAGATTTGAAATTGTTTCGATTTTCCCCGGAACAAATTTCGCGCATGGACAAATACAGTGAACACCGTAATTCCGACCTTGCCCTCCACGAGGGAGTTTGTTTTGCCCATTTTGTGAAGAATCCAGGCGTGAATGTATTTGTTGATTGTATGGGAACCTGACAACAGTCGGTAGATTCTATAACAACCTCGTTATTTGACATGTCGTCAGAAACTGAGGAACCGTGGATGCGAGACGCGTGAAACTGATAGCGTTTGAAGTGAGTGATCTTGCGACGGAACACAGGTTCGTTACAAATGTCTGAAATGTTTATGTGTGCTGTGACTCATATCAGTAGGTCTGTAACATATGTGTCAGAAGGTCTATAGAATATGTGTATTTTCGACACTTGTACCGAACCCCTGTTGATCAGTGCAGCGTAACACGATATTTCTGATAAATTGCATGAGCGTTAAAATTGTTTCCATTGCCGGCATTGGTGATTTCAACCGATGTGCATTTTGTACGATATTGCAGACCTTGGTCTTGTTTTCGTTGTAATAAAAGTGTTTTTTATTTTATTTTTTATTTTGCACATAGATTTACAATGACATTGTCAAATCTCACAATGCCCAGCGATATTTCAGCAGCCGTCATGTTTATTTATATTGGATAATGTAGTTCCGGTCAGTGTTGTATTAATACGCTAAGAATTGTGCCTCGTTAAGCATGGTAATTAAAGTCCAATCAACGACACAGATTTCAAAGAGGCTATATAGTGACAATGCCATGCAAATGTAAATATTACTCGTTCAATTTCGTTGCAGTTGTTAGAACCAAATATTAAAAAAGTATCATCACCAAAAGTCTAGAAACGCTAATTAAATTTTCGGAAATATCATTGATATAGATTAGAAATAAAATCGGGCCCAACACCGAGCCTTGAGGTACTTCAGCTTGTAATAACTGACTATTCGAAAATGATTCACCAATAAAAGCTTTTTGTTGTCGGGCCTGTAGATAATTATAAATTAAGTAAGTTCAAGATACCGACCCACTCAGGTAACAGTCTTGAACATGTGAACCCATAACAACTGGTGTCAGAAGCGGTTTTCAGAACAACTGTCGCAGACCGTCAGCGCAGGGGAATAGGTCCTCTTTGTCCGATGGCTTGCTGTTGTCTCTCCAGGGCGGAAGTCTGGTGGCACTACCTTGCAGGGGAACCGGACGCCGGACCATCAGTTCCGGATTCAGTGAATATAACTCCACAACACTGAAGATTTTGTGTCATTTTGGGGACTGTTTCAACTACAACGATCAAATATAAGTATAAAAATGATATATATTTATTTAATACG